AACCTTCCCCCCTCCCCCCCCCCCCCCCCAGCCAGTGGCAACCCCGCGCCACCTCCTCCTGTGGCAGACCCTGTGCAAGGCTCCGGCATCGCTCAGGAAAGGAGGCAGCTCATGGCGGGCCTCTCCCGGGGGACACATGACAGGCCGCATCACAGCCATAGCCTGTGCTCAGCAGCCCTCCCAGTGGCCCTTGGATTCAAGGGAGGTTATCCCCGTCTTTCACAGGAAAAATAGAGGGACAGATAGTTAAGTGTTTTTTCTTAAAGAGGGAATTTTGTTATAGGGCGTGTGCACTTGCTGGTGAGACAGAGAGACAGGGAAACAGAAAGTGAGAAATCACGCCCCCCAGGGGTAATGGCCACACCACAACCCTTTCTCCTCCATTCTCCTCTTGGGATTTTGGGTACACATGCACCTGGGGTTTTCCAGCCGCTGGGTCTGGGACTTGAACCACAGTGGACCATGTGGGAGTCCAGCAGCGTAACCACTGCGCCACCTGCTGGTGCCAGAAGGGGAGGGACTTTGCCTTGGGATTGGAACCCTGGATGCTGCACTCTTCGCCACTCAATGAAGGGCAAAAGCAGAGGGTGAATTAGTACACGGACAAGAAGGGGGAAACGGGCCAGACCTCTGGACGGGATCCGAGCCCCTTCCGGGTGTGGACAGCCCAGTGGCCCTGACTACTGGGAGTGGCGGTGCGTTTTGCAGGACTCAGAACAGGGCGTTCAGGGCAAACGTGTCTGGCAGAGTCAGAAAACAAATACACAGCAGTGGGGACCCTTTGGTGTCCCCGTTCTGTCCTGGGCACTCTAGCTGGGATGATTGTCTTCCATGGTACACACCCTCACGACCAGGCCCCAAGGGACACACGCCGTGCAAGTGACGTGTGAGAGGGGGAGGGCTTGGAAACCACCTGCTGAGTCCAATCCCAGCACCCAGTATCACCGTGCGTGCAGGGGTGTCCACTGAGCGCAGATTAAGACCGAGGTCGGGTGACACGAGGACGCACTTCTCTGCCCTGTCCACGTTAAGGCTTACCACGACAGCCCCTGCACTCTCGCTGGCTTTCCGACTTGCTGGTGTACACGGGTCTCCATGCCTGGCGAAGCTTTGACCCCACCATAGCACCCTGAGCAGAACTCGCCCAGGCTCACCCCTCCGGGGCTCCCGGTCCTCTACCCAGCCTTTCTCCTGAGTGCCAGTCTTGCACACCCAGCTGCCTCCTGGCATTTGCATTCGGGGTCACGCTGCCGCCCCAACCTCACATTCCAAATGGGGGCTCTGACTTCCCACTCTTGCCTTCCCCCATTTTCTCCACCTTAGCGATGCCACCACCACGTGGCCACCAGTCAAGCCGGACACTCGAGTCTCCTGCAAGACCGTCCCTTCTCTCACACTCAGAGCTCGCCCAGCTGTGTTAGTATGGGTTTCACCCCGGCACAGGTCCTGACCCGGCCCGATGTCAGCCGTGGCGACCTGTCCACCTGCTTCTCTCAGTCCCACCCTCCCACCTCCGTGATCCGGAGCGTAAAGCAGGTCCTGCTTTTCCCCACTGGCAACTGCATTCTACCCGGAGTTAGAGTAACCTCTGTCCATAACCCTGATGTGCCCCTGGAGCCCACCTGGCCTCTGCACCGCCCTGGCCGGGCTCCTCCTCCGCTCAGGCCGCCTGGCCTGCGTGCAGTTCCTACTTTAGCCCGAGTCAGCCACAGACTCCTCGGTATGACTCCCTCCTAAGACACCTTCCCTGACTGCCCACTGAGAGGCTGCCCTCCCTGCTGTGCAGCCAGTCCCCACTCTCCTTCCCTCCCCGGGCTTTCCCCGCATGGCGCCTGCTCCCTGGGCTTCCCCCCATCTCCCCTGCTCCTTGGGCTTCCCCCCCATCTCCCCTGCTCCCCGGGCTCTCCCATCTCCCCTGCTCCCCGAGCTCCCCCATCTCCCCTGCTCCCCGGGCTCTCCCATATGCCCTGCTCCCCGGGCTTCCCCCTATCTCACCTGCTTGTTTTTGTCCGCCTGCTCTAACAGAAGGCTAGCGCCAACAAGCAGGGACCCTGTGTTTTCCTGCACACAGTAGGTGTTTAACACAGACTTGTTCAGCGAGGAAATACACTTTTGAGTAGCTGTGACCCCCTCCACCCACAACGATGATACTGAAGTTAAAGAGGCCAACGTGGAGATGGTACTATGGGTCTCCTGGCAGATCGTGTCTAAGCGCTCCCAGCTTCCAGCAACAGCTCTGACCCCGGAGAAGCAAGGGAGGCGAGGTCAATGGGTCAGAGGAGAGAGGCTCGGATTCTGCCTCTGCTGTTTAATAGCTCGGACTTTAAGCAAGTCACTAAATTCCAACTTCCAGCTCTTTGTATTCTCCATTTGCAAAACGGGACTATCTTACTCTCGAAAGTTGAGGATCAAATGGCTGTTGCCGGAGCCTTGGGCAAGCTGTTAACCACCACCGTATCAGTTAAAGCACCGATATTTCTTCTCCCTCAGTCTCTCCTGCGTACACAGGACTGAGGCGAAAGGAGCCTCACACCGGTCAGAAAGCGGCTGCTTCCACCCCAGGGCCCTGCGGAGGGCCTGCCTGACCCTAGGTTTAAGCACTCCCTGCCCAGGGACGGTGGGAAGCCTCTTTACTGTGCGTGGCGACCATCACTCCTCAGTGTTTGGATTTAATAAGAAAACCACTTAATTGCAAGATTTGGAATGACCTACACTGCCACAGACCCTTCACTGTCAGGAAGGACGTTCACCAGCGCAGGGTGGGCTGACGAGCTGGTTCACTTTACCCAGGTTTCCTGTTCCCCAGGCAGCGCTTGCCGGGGAATGGTGCCCACACCTCCTGGTGAGCTTGTGAGCCTTCCAAGTCCCCATTTCGCTGTCCCCTGAAGACTGGTGGTCACGGCGGCCATGCACTGGGGCGTGACCCAAAGTCCATTCTGCCGCAGGGCACCGCGGAGCCACCTGGCCTGCACAGCGGGCCGTCCTCTGCGCTGTGCTAGCTTCGTCACCACTGGGGTGGCACAGCTTGCTACTCGGAGACTGCAGATGTAAACGCTCTCCGAGTGGGATGCAGGGACTCGGGGCGGCCCCTCTGCGAGGAGCAGAGATGGAATCAGGCACCACCAGGAAGAGCAGGAGGGGTCAGAGCGGCAGGCCCGGGCAGTGCCGGACGGCTCTGCCAGCTGTCCTCTGCCAGGGCCCGGCGGCTGGAACACTTCCCGTGGGTCTCTGCTGCGCAGTGGGGCCTGCATGCCTGGCTGCCATCGGTGACCCCTTTGCCGTCCCACACGGCCCGCTCCTAAGACATGCTTTGTAACGCAAGGTCCAGTGCAGAACGAGGCAGTGGGCCCCAGGGGCCGTGCTCATCAGCTACTGGGCATTTAAAGAGCAGTGCAGCAAGCGTGGCGCCGAAGCACAAAGCTCTGTGCACACGCACGCGTGGCAGACCCCGAGCCTGGCCTGCCTGCTGTGAGCAGGTGCTTCAATTCTGCCCTCCTCCCCGATGGCTGGACATGCCGGGACGGTGGGAATGCCCAGCCTGACAGATCAGCCTGTCACCACCCAAAAGCCAACTTGAGCGGCTCCCCCACCACCACCAGCACAGGCTTGTCCTCACCTGTTCAGCCGCTCCGTTTCCACCTCGAACTCGCGGATCTTGCTTTCGGAGATGGCAGAGCCATGGGAGTAGAGGGTTTGGAAAATCTCCTGGATGTTGGAGCAGTCCTGGAGCGAGTGGGCCAGGTGTTCTGCCACACTGCTGGACACCTGCAAAAGGATGCCGGTTTCCCCAGGACGGTGTCACTCCAGGGACGCTGGTCCCCAGGCATGCTTGGTTTGCCGGACACCACACAGCCAGCACTTACGGTAAACCCGGCATCGGTGGACGTTCCCTGGTGGGTCTGTCTGTGCGGTATGGCGCATAGGAAAGGCCAGTCTCCGTGACAGCTGCTCACCTGACACAACCCACACTGATGCGTGGGTACTGTGCCCCTGCATCCCTTCCCTGTCCTTCCCGTCCCCTACCCCTGCCACTCTGGGCCACCGCTGCCGGTTACTACAGCCAAGGAGAGGGGCGACTCCTCGCGTGTCGCGATTTGTCTGTGGTATGGAATATGAATGCTGTGGTTTTACTCAGCGCAGAATTCTACATCCAGGCCTTAGCAGTGCTATTCCAGACCCAGTCACTGGGGGGGTGCCGCAGCTAGGGCTGCACTGAGGTCCAGAACCCCGGGGCTGGGAACATCGTGTACCTGTGGAGCTAGCTAGCGGCCGGGCTGGTGGGGGCTGAGGAGCGGCTCAGAAACCACGGAAAAGCCTTGCCCAAGCGCCACCCCTAACTTGCTGCACTGTCACTTAAAATGTAGAAAGTGCTGGGACCAGCAGTTAGCGTAATGGCTATGTCGCTGGACTCCTATGTAGTCGACCAAGGTTCGCGTCCTGGACCCGGTGGCTTAAAACTCACGCTAGGGGCGTGTGTGTGCATGCCCAAGAGCCCAAGAGGAGAATGGAGAAGGGATTGCAGCATGGCCATCTCCCTGGGCGGGGGGGGGTGATTTCTCACTTTCTGTCTCTGTCTCTCTCTGTCTCTCTGGTGAGCACACGCGCCCTATGGCAAAAACCTCTCCAAAAAGAGATGGTTTAAAGATTTATGAAAATAATAGGCTTAAAAAGTAAAAACAGCCTCTTGTGAGTGTTCTAACCAGAGGCTAGGGAGG